CCTAATGTACAGCAGAGCGACATCCACTTACTCGCCTTTTTTTATCTAAAATGTATGAGTTTATGCGATCACTTTTACGGAGTAAAAATTTCAAAAAATAAAGGATTTAGGTGTGACTGTGGTTTATACACTGTGACATATTATACTGACATGCACTGCGTGAGGTACCTATTATACCACAGAATATATGAATCATATATTCTGTGCCTATACAGTGAAATTGATAAGAGTCAGAAGACCAGAAGAGTAGTTTGTATACATAACTATAATATGTAATGAATGTCTGTATAGTGTCTGTACCCTGTCGTATAGATTAGGTATAGTATATACAGTGCTGTAGATGCAAAATATTTATTTATTTATTTTTTTTGGGTGGGTTTTAAAGTATAGGTAACTATTTTTTTTCTAGCACATTTTAAGATTTCAAATGCTGTTTGATAATTTCGTGGGGGTCTGAACACTAACCTCCCCCTCTTTGGCTACGGTCTTGACGCCTTGTAACCACACCTATGATTATTATGACATATTAATACAATATATAGACTGGGCATCTCCAATACGTGTGTTTACCTACCCAGCTAGGGGTTGCCAAGTGCCAATATTGTCAGAAAGAGATATTTAAAATCTACGCATGTTATGATGGCCGATGSATGGGATATATACCCGGATCTTAAGTGTATCAGTGTATGTACATTTTTCTAAAATTGTTTTTATCCTTGATGTTAAACTTTTTTCCTTTTCCATGTGCTTAAATTGGGTGAATTAACCTGAAAAACAAACTTCTGAAGTCCMAACTTGACTTCGTAAGTATGATAAATTATATAAAACGTATCAATTTATATTATTTTCTAAGTCTCCTTCCCCCCAGATTTTAACCTCGTACACGCCTTTCTCTGGTTATACTATTGTACGTCCGACGTCCATGATCGTGTCTAAGATACATTGATATCATCTGCGATGTGTACCGGCCGTGACATGTACCGTCGTATACCATAAGTCCATACTACACCCTATGTCCCTATTATACTGCCTAAGCCCTAAACGTTATGCTTGGCAATTTGGCATCGCACCAAAATAATATTATAATACAAGCAACGTGGGCGGAACTCGGCGGGTAGATGGCGTTAGCGCGCGCAATGAAAAACATATGATCAGTGGCGGCGGCGGTGTCTCTGTCTGTCTCAGTCGTTGCCATCCGTCCGAAATTGTTATTTGTTGTCAAGTGTTATTGTTTTGCCCCGACGGCGACGTCGACTTTCCCAGTTTCCCATAGGGATCTAAATAGCAATACAATATAATATATATAATATTTGTGTATATTTAATATTTATTAATATATGTGTATACATACGTTGTACGTAATATGTATCGGTGATATGTGAGTGTGTATTTGTGTTAAAATCGTACGTCGTCGATCGTTGGGTAAACATCTAACATTTTTTAATTTTTACAATAGTTTACCTTCTGTTTTATGTCCTCTAAGAGTCATTTTGTAAAAATTGATCGAGTGCAATGTGTTTATTTTTCTTTTGTCAAGAAGTCTCCAGAATATGAATTCAATACAGCTTAACTAGTAGATGATCCACTGACGCTCTTGCAGGTATTTTACTTATAACTTACTTATATGGTCTCTTATATGGTCTCACAGACTTGTTATCGTTTTCAGTATTGTCAGTTTTAATTTTTTGCTTTTCGTTGTTTGTGTGTTGCATATTATAGTTGTACACAGTTGTACACAGTTGTACGTAAGTCGTACACACTAAAACGTGCATATATATGTACAGACATTTGTCAATAATATAATTAATGGTTGTAATATGCATTTTGATTTCCCCTCTCATTGTCGCTAAATTTTAGTTAACATTATTTTATTATTAAAAAGTCAAGTTTAGGTTTTAGTTTGATTGATTTGTATAACAGTTGTGATATATTTCATATGTAATGTTCGATTGTTTGAATTGTATTGGTTTTACTAACATTATTACGCATGTACAGGGTCAAAATGTCATTCATGGTGAAGAAGAAAAGATACAAGTTTACTGTTAATCTTTGCCTTGAAGATTTAACAGCCGTCCCATTTGTCAATGCTGTATTGTTTGCTAAAGTTCGGTTACTGGATGGTGGGAATTTCAGTGATACTTCATCCAGGTAAAGTTTTTTTTTGGTAGATTTTATATTTTTTGATTTGTAATATAATATGAATAAACATGTGGATACTCATACGATTATAGTATAGGTAAATATGAATGTTAATAATGTTATAAATATGTTAATAATATTTATAATATTAGAAAGTTTTAATCATTAGAATAATTTTTTTATTTCTAATATTTGTGACAAAGTTTAATYAAGGTTTAAAAACTATTAAGACATTTTTATTAATTGACATTGTTTCTTTTATTTGTGTATTAGTTGGTATATCTACATTATAAGCTTTAAGTCATCAAATTAATAYTATAAATTTAATGTTGCGCTAAAAACTTAAAATTTCATCAGTATTGAATTAATTCAAGTTCTCAATTCATAATTAAAAAACTAATATTTGTTTTATAAGTATGTATAATGTATATTATTCATATTAACAATGAGCTTATAGTAATTTTTTGATTTTGTATAACATTTTGTTTGTATATTCCCATAATATTTATTTTGGTTAAGTATTATTTTCTGAGATTTTCACTTTCTATATTTATATGATTTAAGCTATAATTAAACTTAGAAACTTATGATTTAAATAAATTTGTGATAAGTTCATGTACCTTCAAATGTTGTGTATCATGTGAAAAATATACTTTTACATCTAAATGCTGATACCACCAATAGACATTTATTATAATGTTATTCAGTAGTTGCCGCTTATTGGATTCAAATAAGCTGAGTCTTGTTTAATATATATATTAAACTTATATTAATACATAGAAAAAATTGTCTATTGGGGTCAATGAATATTTTTTAAGAGGATATTTCCAAATTTTTTGTCAATTTTTCTGATTTGATTGCATATTTCTTAATGATTACAGGGATTAATACTATTTCTTATAATTTCTATTATATATTTTTCTTAATCATTACAAAAAGTATTATAGGTTTTTTTTAAATAATTTGAAGTTATAAAAAATAACAATGAAAAAAAAATTCTTTTTATTGTTATCATTGAAAATATTTTTGAAATACATGCATAAATGAATAATAGTACTTAATGATGAATTTTTGTGGCAAAATTTAATATTTTTTACTACATTTAATGACCTTTTACTTCATTGACTCATTCAGTTAATGGAGTTCCTTTTGATGACTTGGTTTTAATACTAGTCCAACAAAAAGCAGTTACTACTACTGCATATTTATTCACCTCTATATTTATCATTGGTTTAATTCGGCATAATATTTGTCAAAGACTTGTCTTTGAATAAATGATTACTCTAACAAAAGTACACAATAACAACTGTAGTTATTAMATAAGCATTTAATTTATTAACACTATGCCTTTAAGCTTTAAGTTATCATAGCTTATAAAAACTGTATATTTCCCGGTACCTATATGTATTTATCTTTGCTAGCATACTTATACTTATTTTGTTTGGAAAAATAAAAAGTTGAAAATAAGTTAGGTGATAAAATATAACCTTTCATAATTTCAAAAGGCAAAGCAACTCAACTTAAAATATTGACTTAATGGTGAATAATGATTGGGAATATTATTTTATTTAAATAATAATAATAATAATATAATGTTTTAAGTATAATAGTAATAMGTAATATGCAATGTAATATTATGTCAACAGATGCTAATCATCTYAGAATTCAAAATGTTGCTTGTAAAAAAGATACATTGGTATAAATATATAGGTATCTATTAATTTAAAATTCATTAATATTTAGCATATTTGCCATATATTGTTTGCATTGTCTTCATTTTAAATTCTSATATTGTTTACTTTTTAGCTAAACATAATATCACATTATGTAGGTACTAGGTATAAGTATAATTTATATCATATTATGTATATTATAATATTATTTAAAATGGCTATCTGTTAAAGTCTGCAAATGATGTGGTTTTTGTATAATGATGCATTATGATATCTTTAATTTAAATAGGTACAAGTACCTAATTGAAGAAATATATTTTGGTTCATTCTTGGATAAAAGTTGTTTGTTTTTGTTGGATATTTAACATCATAATATTTGAAAAATGTATATTCAAGGTTATGCAAAAAAATATTTTGTGTTAACTATTAATAAATAACCAATTTAAAAAAAAAAATATGTCAGCTCATATCAATCAATAACATGTACAAAGTTGATTTTATTCATATTTCTGATTATGTTTCAAATGAATATATTGTATTACCTAGACATTTTTTTATTATTAATTCTATTTCAGACTTTTAAAATGAATTGCAGAATTTTATACTTCAGATGGTAGATTGGTTAAAATAATCATATCAATATTTCTAGCACTAAGAAAACAATATTCTGATTAAAGAACAGTTAAAATTTTATGTTTAATTTAATTTCTTTCTTTTACATTAATATAATATTATATAGTTTATAGTTTTTCCTATACATAGGGAGCTTATTTAAAAAATCAAAATATGCTCTCCAATAACTGGCTTTAATATTAATAGATAAGTGGGGATTTCAGCCATTTCAGGGCTCAAAAAAAGATCCATAAAAAGGAAATTAAAAAAACTTTCATTGGTTACCCAAACATTTGTTTTTCCAAGAATTTTAATAAAATATGAGTTATATTACTTATAGGTAGTAAATTATCCACATACTTAGTATTTTTTAACATACATTTTTAAAAATTCTGTTAGCTGATATATAAATTAAATATATAATAAACTTTGTTTTGTTTTGCTTTTAATGTGTATATTATAATAGAATGAGTCTTAAGGTGCATACATTTTTTTTGTAGCTTCTGAGATCACACAAATGTTATTAGATTTTCTTATAAAATCAAGCGCTCATACTAGATCTTCTTTGTATTAATGTATATATTATAAAGAATATTTTCTTATAATTATAAACGCGCGTTATGTTCTGACAAAAAAGATTTTTAAATTTTTTTGGTAGTCATACTGTTAGTTACCCTGTAAGTTTCTTTACTGTTTAAAAATTAAATACATTTTTTGTTGATATAATTGTTTGAGAAACTATAAATTAATTAGGTTATGAAAATAGTCCATTTTTACTTTTTATCATAGACATATTATTTATTTTATTAAATGTTAAGATGTCTGATAAAAGTTATTTTTAGTTGCTTAATGTATATTTTATTTATTTMAATAAATAAATACATAAATATTAGGTACATCATAGTATATCTGACCCACACTGAATTACATTATTACATCAATATGAGCATTATAAAAATTATTTTATATGTTACATTATCTTTTATATTTTATATCATATTATTATAGTATATGATGAACATTTTTTATAGTTATGYTAGTTTTCTTTTTCCGCTTACATTGGGGTGGGGGATTGTGTCAGCACTATTTCCATCATGCATCATTGTTTTTGTCATTTCATCTTTATTAATGAAATAATGACTAATGATTATTTATTTGTATCATATACAATGTGCAATCTACTCATATAAGTATCAAACACAGGTATATTGAATATTAAGTTGAAATGAATTTTGTAATGGTATTAATATCTATTAATAGCCAGTATGAATTAGATAAATATTATGTACCATTCTGTATAGTTTCAAACCTGTGATAATTAATAACTTATTAATAATAAGTGATAMATTTTTACTATTATTTAGTTCRACATCTGGAATTGTAAACTTATTAATCTTAGGTTAAGTACTACCCCTGGGCCCTGGTCCCCTGGTACTACTGTTCATACTCAAAATAGTCTCTATACATTATAGAAATTTATTATTTTGAAAGGATAAAATCAAGAAATAAATAAATTTAACATTGAATACATTAGTATTTTATTAATGAAAAATAAACATTATCATTTACCTACATTTTTATTAAGGTCGTGTTTATATAAGACTTAACTATAGGTCAGTGACTTGACTATTGGAGGGGATATGTTGTGTGTGAATGTAAGATAAATCACCCCCTAGATCATTTTTCCTATATAATTCATTATTGTTACTTCAAAACATACATAAAAAATTTTTAACGACACAATCATTATTATGTGAACACTAGTTTTACTCATTAGAGATTGACCAGAATGTAAATCAATGGAGTTAAAAATGTGTCAAAAAAATKTTATTAAATAATTTGAATTTTAAGASGCATTGATGAATGACGCCCTTTTAATCAACAACAAGAATTTATATCCGAATATAAAATTTGTTATAAAAATATTATATAGGTAAATAGGTATATTTTCTGTATCAACAGCTGTACTGGAACGTTCATTTTCGAGTTTAAAGTGGATTACTTATAGAATAGTATCTGAGTAGTTATAAATAATGCTTGAGGTTGTGGGGATTATTTGTTATTATTTATTTTATTGTTATTATTTATTATTTGTTATTATTTATTATTTATTATTATTATGGGGACGTGTTACTTGTGTGTGTTGTCTCAGAATACTCATATATTCTATAAGATGTACAAATAATTTATAATCTTTTAGTACTCATAACTTGCCTTTAAATTAAAATATGATAAAAAGCCTATATACATACTAGATAACAAACTTACCATTAAATTTTATAAGAGATCAATTCACTCTAAATTGTAAACTAACTGAGCTAAATGGGATCTGCTTAACGTAAAATTTTCTATGTTACGCACTTGTAAGACGGAGACAAGAGATCGTGTCCTCTTAATGTTTAATCAATTTAATTGTTTACAAAAAATTATTTTTTTTATATATAAGGCAAGGTGCTTGGACTTAATTAGCTGCTTTATATATAAATTGATATATTTTGTTGTAATGCTGATGCAATTATTGATAAACTAGACAAATAACTAGGTAGTGTACAAATAAAAGTAACCGAAAAAAAGTGGGTACATAAATGAGCATTAGATGTCATTGTAATGAATGTGTGGAATTTGAATTTTATGATATAAAATCATAGTAWACCCAAAATGATTCTTTGCGAAGGYGTTCTGTCAATTAAAAATATTATTAGGTATAGGTATGTCTTATGATAT